GGTTGTCCTTACATTAATTTGAATAATCTATATGTTTTTAAATAATTTATTATTCATTTTTGTAAACAAAACTTTATTTAAGGACTACTGTGTGCCAAGCATTTTGTTAGACATAGAAAGGTAGACTTGTGCCCTATTTTGATTCTATTTCCTTATTTGCTCACTATCCATGTGATAGTTCATTTGCTTATAGTTATCAGTTATTGACTATTTCAAATCTCTTCTGTGTATTAGAGTGTGAAACCTAATGAGATAGATTTTCCATATTTAATAGTTTTGAGAAAGCATAACAAATTAACTTTTTTGTCTTGTTCTATGTTTTAACTCTTTAGTTTGTGAACTAGTAAATTTTGTTTCAAACTTACTCTTTCTCTGGGTTCCTGGAGTCTCTATTAATTTATTTACAGTATTACGTTTGTAAATCCATCCCTTGATCCCTGTATTTCATCATTATAGTGTACATTTACACTTGATTTGCCCAGGGAAACCTGAATCTCCTATTCCCAATGCTGGCAGCCTTTGCCCAGCTTACTTTTTTCAACCTTTAACTGCATCCTTTCCTTATCAACATTGCTGTGTTTGAATTATAGCAACAAGAATCATAAAATCTCATTCTTTGATTTCTGCACAGTGTAGTTGTGGTCCATTGCCAAAATGAAAAGCATATATAATTTGGTTTCAGCCAGATTAGAGTTCCTGTTAAGTTTTTCATCTCTGAATGTGTGCTTTTTTTTCCTGAGCCTCTGCTTTGCTTCTGTAAAAATTAAATATAGAGGAAAAACATGATGAAACATACCTGTAATTACAGCTAGCTGGGAAGATGAAACCATAAAATCTCAAATTCCAGACTAACATGGGGAATTTAGCATGACCCCATCTTGAAATAAAATTAAAAGGGCTAGAGATATAGCTAAGTGGTAAACAGTTTGTCCAGCATGTATTAGGCTCTGGGATTAATATCTAGCACCCTCAAAAAATACAAGTTGGATATTCCTTATTTGAAAAGCATAGGACTTGGGATTTTGGATTTTTAAAAACTTGGAATATTTGCATATACATAATGAGATATCTTAGCCATGTAACACAAGTCTATACATAAAATTCATTTATGTTTCTTATATATGTAGCATGAAGTTGAATTTTTAAAACATTTTGTGGACCTATGTCTTGACAGCAACTACTCACATGAAATCATGTGTAGAATTTTTCTATTGAAACTTGTGGCAGTGTTCAAAACTTTTGGCTTTTCCCACATACTGATTTCAGATTTTTAGATCAGGAAAACTCAACTTGTAATGCTTCTTTACATGCAGCATTTGAGACAGGCTGGCAAACAAGAGTGCCTGTGGCTGGTATTACATTCTGCTCGATCATGACTCTGCCCACTTTCATGTTCAACTTTTGTGCCATAGCATAACACAAAATTAGTTTAGGTTAAATATTTTCTATTATAAATAATGTTTAAATGTCATAATGTCATCTTCTGTATAAAGATGAGAAGTTATATGTAAAGCACTTAAAAGGATACCTTGTATCAATATTCATTATCATTATTTTTATCTTGTTAGACAGATTTATTAAATATTGAAGTCTCATTCCAATTTTAGTGTATGTGTTGCCAAAGTGAGCACTAAATATTGAAAGTCAATTCCTATGTAGTACACAAATAATTCAAAGAATATTTCACTTTACAGATTTCTTCGCCTATCCTGTATTCTCATTCTCCTAATTTTTGATTTCCTTAAGTAATCTTATTATGATCTTAGTGTCTCTTCTCTCAGTATATTATTAATACTTTTCAGTAAATATGTGTTCAAATGTCTATCTTTCCTTTACACATATTCCTTTCCTTTTCTAAAATGGAAAGTGTGCTTATTTAATAACAAATAACTATAGCAAATGGTACAGTGTATATCTGCTGCTCAGTAGTCTAGTTCTACATATTTCAGAACATTCTAAAGTTCCCAAAGCAGAGATTCAGAATAATCTATGTGGGGCCAGTGCCCATAAGACCCAGATTCTATGTACTGTCAGATAGTTGGCAGGAAAGCTTACTATTTAAATAAAAGTTATCAACCTTAGAGTGTTGTAAAAATACAATGTGAGCTGAGCACATATTAAAATAATTTCTTTATGCCCATGACTGTAAAACAATTTGATTCCTCAAAAGCCAAAACCCATGTTAAGAATATGTTCAGGACTAAAATCAGTCATAGTTTGGTTTTGGGGTCTTAGGTTTTTTTTTTTTTTAAATGACTTAGCAGCGTCTAACTTTTCTTTCTAAATTTAATAGCAAATGTGTCAAAATGTATGAGATTTTCTCTGTATAATAATAGGTGCTAAGTATTAATAGATAAGAAAGGTAGAATAGCACAATTCAGATCTTAAATCAATCGGTGACATACACACTGGCAAATATGCAGCACAGTTCTGTGTTTTTATTTATACCTTCCACAGAAAAATAGTACTATTATAAATACATATGGTACATTGATTTATTCAAATCATAAGTTTGGCATTGTTATTCAATCAAGTGTGGCATTATCATCAAAATTTAGCATCACTTGACATTTCGAAACATAATAAACTTGTTTATGTTGATGAGTTACAAGGTGCTACATTGTTGAAATATGTCAAAAGTGATGCAGAGAAAACTTATCTTATATAGTATTACCATATTTATTTTGTAATTTAAATTATTCAAGGGATGATTTGCCCTCCAAAAAACCTATGCATTCTTTTTAGAATATTCAAAAGGTATCTAAGATTTGTCTTTGTCCTGTAATATTTTGACCTGTGTTGTTGGACCACCTTTCTCTAGAAATCACATTCCTGTTACTTAGTGGTACTGAATACTTGAAAAATGATTGAGAGAAAGAATTCAGGGAAGAACAACTATGAATAATTAGCTTTTATTTGTGACTTCTCTAGGGTAACATATGTTTTAAGTACTTTACATTTCTGCATTGTTTTAAATAGCATTACGTACCAATTAATTAAGTGTTGTTATCCCCACTTTATATATAAAGAACTTATGTCAATTAGTAAAAGCAAGTTTTAAAACCTGATTGAATTCCACTCATATATAATCTCTGTCTATACAGTGAGCTCTTTTAGATATTTTGTTTTCTATTTTACTACCATACTATCTCACATAGCCAGTATTCTTGATATTACTAATCTCCTAATTTAATAATGAAAAAAGAAGCAACATCTGATAATTGTATATATAGCTCAATTTTTAAGTCTTTAATGGAAATATTACAAAAAACCCTAGAGATACAGACTGAATTGCTTCAAGTTGATATATAGTGATTAGAGTTTTCAAATTGTATATTTTATAGTCTCTACTTACAGAGTAGTCCTGAACTCAACTTTGTAGCCCAGGCTGCCCTCAAATTCTCAGTGACCCTCCTGCCTCAGCCTGCCTACTTCTGGGATTACAGGCATTCAACACCACAAGTGCTACAGACTACTGGAAATTTTAGTTAGCTGTAGTCTAAGAAGACAGTAGTTCACAATGTGGCATCAAGATCAAGAGTATTGCACAAGTAGGAACTTATTAGACATACAATACCTGATGTCCTCCCCCAAATTCACAGCATTAAAAACTATTATTGGGCTCACTCAATCCCCAGATGATTCTGACGTGTGCCAAAAAAGAATTACTCACTCAGGGAGAAGTCAGAGATAAGCCTAATGTTGCACAAGTTTCTTTGTGTCTGAGTTTTTTCCACCTTGATTTACCTCAGGTCATTCTTGATTTGACACCTCATCCATAGAACTGTTTACCCTTTCTCCTCAGAAGGCTTGCTGTGCATCCACCTGGTGTACACAGGGTCCAGAAAGACCTCTTCAGTAGGCCATTGTTTATTGACTTTTTAGAAAAGTGGTCACTCAGCATTCTAGTTCAAGTTACACTGACAGAAGCTTGAGTGCCACATCCAGTGCAGCTCTTGGGATTCACTGGGGAGGACTATGGAGGATGAGGATATGATGACAAGAGATGGAATGCTGGAATTGAAGTCCTCTCTCCCGAATGAGGAAAGGAACTGCCCAAAGACCACAGTGTGTAATTTATACATTCAGCAAGAGACTGGTAACAATGGAATTCCTTCCCTTAATGGGAGGAGGGATCTGCCTAACAATTTGTTTGGCTCTGTATTCTTGGGGCTGGCCTTGCTGTAGCCCTGCGTGTGTGAGGAATATCCAGTTCAGCCACTTCCCACTCTTGGGTACAAAAACAATGAGTAGAAAATAATGCAATAAATAAATCTTGACATTTTTTTCTGGGTGCGAAAACCAGAGTATCCCTATTTAATCGAAGAACAAAGTACTAGTGAAGATATGGGTAAGAAGCAAAAATTTATCACAAGCATGCTTGTTTCACTTTTTCTGAATTTTTGTTTATAGTGAAAATTTAATTTCTATGCTTTATGAAAGAAAGAACAATTTTGTTTATTTCCTAGTGTGACAAAAGCTTCTCTAATCTTTTATCCTACCTGCTGTTCTATTCATGTACTTGCACACATTGGCTCACCCACTTCATTGACTTGTTTCCAACTTAGATATACAAATACTGCTAATAAAAAGAACTATCAGTTTTTATATGCAGCTTGCTAAAAAATGGAGCTTAGTTTACAGAAATGAAAGCATAAGAGACCAGGCTAAAATCTCACACATCACAAAATGTAGGGCATGTAATACCTAAAACAAATATCTAAAGATGCAATGATCTATGCAATAATTTCCTATGCCCTGTGTCTCCCATGTCATAGTTCCTATTTAAAATCCTCTGAAATCAGAAACTTACAAATTGAATTTACAAAAAGCTGATAACTGGAACAAAACTTTGGTGAAAGATAAGTTTCATATTGATTTCAACATGTGTTAGCGTGTGTAATTGAATTAAAAATCAAACAGCATATAAAATAGAAACATTTAAAGTTTTGTGTTTTTTTTATTCCATATTGTTTTGTTTTTTGTTGTTCTTTGTTTAGATGGAGCTTGCTAAAGAAGAAAAGTGTGAATTTTTGCCTTTCCTGTCCCCACGGAAGGTGATAGTAAAAGGTGGGAGAATTGTTGCCATGCAGTTTGTTCGAACAGAGCAAGATGAAACTGGAAAATGGAGTGAAGATGAAGATCAAATAGTCTGCCTGAAAGCAGATATGGTTATCAGTGCCTTTGGTTCTGTTCTGAGTGATCCTGCAGGTACAGTTCTCTGGAGCTGAAGTGTGTTATACCTGTTGTTGTATCTGTTATTATAATGGCCTAATAGTTTCCATCTTTCAGGTAATTGTTTTTCACATCAGCATTCAATTTCTTTTTCTAATATGGAATGCAAACAATCTTGATTTAAAATGCCTACAAATTGTATTTAATGAGAATACAGAATTATTTTTAAGTGGTGAAAATTGAAAAGAATATTAATTTTTCTTTTAAGCTGATTTGCAAAATATGTACTATACTTAATAATGCTGTTAGGCTTGTTTATTATATAAGAATGGATTTGTCTTTATTTAGACTAGTATAAGAAAATATAGTGGAAAGCTTCATGTAACCAGTCTTCAATGATGTGGAGAAATTTGGACTCAATGAATAGCCAAATAATAGAATTTATTTATTACTACTCTCAAAACAAATCATCCCTACAATCATCATCATCATCAAATTTAAGAAGTTCAAACTCTTGTCATCTGCATGGCATAACTGGCATTCTAAGGAAGAACCAAATGTTGAAAACTAGAGTGGGAAAAAATTGTTTTATATAGCATTTTAATTGAAAATTTAAATCAATCCTTAAGACTGCTTTGTGTTATAACCCACACACATGCACATGGTGTTTGTCTGGGTCATTGTATATGGAAAATACCTTCTTTTTGCAAATTCTTTACTTCTTAATTCATAGTCTCAAAATAGTAATTACCCCTCACTTTCTGAAAGGGAAGTAGAAGTCATTTTTCTAGCTCAGAGATTCTTTAAGAGCAATAACAAGAACAACAACAAAATCTAAACTTAGGATGCTTCTCTATAACTTTATACTGTATTGTGTTTAAATTACATTTTGTATCTGAAATAGGAATGTATTTAAAAAACTTATTTTTTTATAACAGATTCATAAAAGTCAACTAGTTATCAGGACATTTTATCTGTAGGACATCAAGTATCTTGATATTTGAAAATACCCCGATGTTTAATGTCATCAAGATAAATGCTTTCAAATATCTGGATGATGGCCTGAATCTGACACTTATCCACAGAGGTGTTTATATGATATTTAGACAAAGATACAGTGATAAAGTGGTTTGTATATTCATTAACTGAGTTCAGAAAGGAAGCAAGAACTGAGTGTAAATTATATTCAATTAACAAAAATTATATTGTTTTCAATGCTTTGCACATCAACAAAAATTGAGTAAAATATTGAATGTAGAAATTCTGTTTATGACTCATCTATCAAAAACTAGCTATATAAATTGATCTTCCATAATTGGTAATATTAATACTAAAATATTGTGGCTTTTCCCAAAAAAACCTAAATAGCTGTGGGTCAGATCGTAGAAATTGGCTTTGTTATCTCAGATTTTGTCACACTTGTCTTGTGTGTCTGTGTAATGTGTGTTTGTATGTGTGTGTGTCTGTGGGTGTGGGTATATAAAGAGTAAGTGATTTAAATAACTTTAAGATTCGCAGAAGAATAATTTGATCTATTAAGTTTGAATTTACCTTAATAATCTTAGACAAGTTTCTTATTATTTGTTACTAAATGCATATGTTTATACCTTTATCTAATGTTCTAGAATATATTCCTTGGTATCAACTTCTTCTAGTCCTTCTGTCATACTTTAAAATATATATTTAGAGAAGTCAGGAAAAACATGGTTCTCTATTATACTTTTCTCTCCCCTACTGATAGGAATAACAACCTTCCTGGAGAAATTTTCCTAAATGGGGTCACTTGTTTTGCCAGCGTCCCTTAATATTTTCATAAAGACAATGGCACCCAGTTTCAAACTCAATTCAAATATTAACCATAGCTTCATTTACTATGCTTTCTGTGAAAAACTGAAAGTGGTTGTCTTTTAGAAATTCTCTTCTCTTCTTTCAAATTATGTAAAATTCCAAATCACATTAAATTGGAATTTTATTGTTTTAAATTGAAAGTCCATCAGAAAATTAAGTACTAATTGTTTTAAATTGGCATTTCTATTCCAGAAATACTCATCTCCATTGGAAGATTGTAAATTTTTATTTGGTAGATATTTATATTTTAATATAGGAAATCTCTTGTTAGACATTTTATCAAATTTAGATTTTTATCTTTTAGAAATAATTCAAGTTTATGAGATCTCTTATTTATCCTATAGTTTATCCTTCTTTGTGTTGTTTGAAACCAAACTGACAGTTGTGAGATATATATATATATTTTAATTGATAAACCAATCTTATTTTTACCAACTTTACTTTTCTTTCCTTTCCTATTTTTTTTTTGATCAAACACATGACCTCACACTTGCCAGACAAACACTTGTGCTGCTGAGCTAAATCCCTGGCCTCTTCACTTTTCATTTGTTTATCTGAGACAATAAAATTGGCTTGTCCTCATACTTTGGAAATATAGCAGTTATAATGGTCTATTTTTTAATATGTGTTCAAACAGATAAAGGAATAGACTTTTTAGTTCATGAACTCTGTACATTTTCAATGTGCTGCACTGTTACTGTTTACTTTTAAAATGCACACCCTGAACAAGATCTATGTCCTTTCGCCTTCCAGAAGTTTTAATTTATCTGGAAATTAGACTGCAGACTCTAGGAGGGTAAAGCATTTACTTTGTAGTCTATTTGACTCACAGTATCAGTTGATATGCTAATGTATATGTAATAGTTACACAAATACATGCGTGAATTTGACTTGATTCATTTTGGGATATTGATTTTATTAAAACTTAGTTTTTTTATAAACAACACTTGCTTTTGTTTGTTTTTGTTGCAAAATAAAAATTGGCAAAATATTTTTACTATTCAATTGCTATTGGTCTTTTCCCTTGTTTTAGCATAAATTATTATACTCTTTATAATTAGACAAATATTGCACTAATTAGAATCCTTCTGGTATATCAGGTCCAAGTAGGAGCTCTGGAAACAAGATAGTTAGCTAGAAATCTTTCTTCTTTACATTCTAACTTTATCTTCTTAGGAATTTAGTTTCTATATACATCTTGGTCTTTGTTGTTTAAGAAGGATAATCATTGTATATACTTCCCTAGGGTTGTTTTAAGAATAAATGAAATGATAATATATTTGAAGCATTTATATCTAGGCCCAGTACATAATAAAGAACTCTTAAATTTTAGGTTTCATTTTTTGTATATCAAGACATATTTTAATAATTAAATTATAATACACATCTAAGGTGGTATGAATATTGTCTAGAGATAAAATCATTTAGAAATGAGGATTTTATCAGGGGCCCTGGATGCTCTGTCAACATGTCATAAGTGAAGTGAATAACCTTACACTTATGATTCTTTAAATGAGAGAATATTTATTATATTTGTTTAATTTCACTTGTAGAAATTTGTATAGCTTATAGCTATCATACATTTAAAAACACTTCATTTTCAATTCTTAGTTGTTTTCCCATTATTCCACTATTGAAAGAAATTTTCTTTCCGCTAATTTTCAATAGTTAGGGAAACCTCTATTTTAACTATCTACACCTCAAATATTTAATGAATGAAGTATTTTTGAATCACTTTAGGCTTTTTTCTTTAAAAACAAGTGGATTTCGGTCAGATGGTTTTGTCTGTTTTTTCTAAGTCAGTTGCTCATTTTTATAAAAGAAAGAAAGTACTTTTAGCACAAGGTCCTGAATTTGATTTTAGGTACTCAAAACAAAACAAGAACAAAAAAAGTAGTTTCAAGGACACTGAAGACTTGAGGTGAAACCTAGGTTTTGGAAAGAAAGATCTGAAGAAAGGTGGTAACACTGCTATAGCACAGTGCTGCATCTCACTGCCCAATTGAGCAGAGAGACTGAGCTCTCTGGACACCAGTCAGGTGAGGCTGGGGTTATCTTTTCCACAAAGTGGGTGTGTACTCTTCAGTCATTGCCTGTATCTCCTTTCTGCTCACTAAGAACTGGACCTGACAAAGAAAAAAAAAATCACAAAACACAGAATTTTCTGAATCTTTAAAGCAATCCTTAGAATCCAACTCCCTTGATGGCATTAATTACAATTAGTTCTATAAGAGAGTGTTTCAGGGGAAAAAAGCTTTTAAAATCACTCATCAATCCTTCTTATGAGCAGGCCCTCAGAAAAGTTTTTGAAAGCCTCATGGGGTAAATCAAGCATTCTGTCAATATCAAGTTCAATTAAGCTTTGATTCACTTTCCCTCATACTGAGAAAAGGTGTAGGCATGGGCTAATTGGCCTTGTTCTCCCCTAAATCAGAACTAGAAAGTTTTAGTTAGGTAAAAAATGGTGTATCTAAGAACCCAGCAATTCAAAGATTTAGGAATTTTTCAAATATGCCCTTTTTGCTTATTTAATTTGGGTATTGGACAATTTATGAAAATATGTTTTAATATGAGCATAAGACAAGTTAAATATCTAATAATAGCTGGGTTTTGTTGTTTTGTTTTGTTTTGTTTTATATTTAGACAGGATCATATCACTATGTGTACCTCAGAATGGTCTTGAACTCACCATATTGTTCATGTTGTCCTCAAACTCAAAGTGATATTCTGCTTCAGCCTCCTGAGAGTAGGGATTACAGACACAGGCCACTACACTCAGAAGTTATCTTTTTTTAAAAATCATTATGTTTGATTTACTACCTATCAAAATGGTACATATTGGTAGTTCACTAGTAGAACTAATAGGAAACCTTTTAATAACATATATTAATCCTTCATTTTTCATTGTTTTTATTGGCATTTTGTTGTTGTTGTCACCATATTATTTTTCAAAATATAGAACATCTCTCTCAGAAACTACCAATAACATTTAATAATTCATTTTTTAAAAACTATTCACTCTTCAATTTACATAATTCCACATTTGCTTTATCAAAAATAAAGGTTGGGTGAAAGACTGAAATACCAAGTTGAAAAACTATCTTAATTGGTCAGATTTTCAGCATTGTATAGGTTTTTATAAAAAGCAATATTTGTAATAGAGTCTTAAAATAACAGATTAACAAACA